CTTTCAATATGTAGCAAGTGTTCGCCGAGCAGACGGAATTAAGAACATTCGCATCAGAGCATAAAATGTGTTCGCTCTTTTATGTGCACGCTGCATGGAGTGAGACGATTGGTGTTTTCCCTTGATATTATTTTAGAATTTTGTTTCAGGATCATTACACGTTAGCCGTGATGCATATAGGATCGCCTTCTTGCGGTATGAACGCAGCTGTGCGTTCCTTCGTAAGAAATTGTATATATCGGGGAGACAAGGTATCGTCCGACAACCAGTATTTCTATCGATTTTATACAACAAGGGTACTTTACGCGAACGATACACGTATCTCCAGGTTTACGGTATTTGCGATGGAATATTGGGTCTGATGGCCGGAAAATTCAAACCAATGGATTGGCCTTCCGTCACCGGGTGGGTAGCACAGGGTGGTGCTTATTTAGGAACAAAGCGGGCTCCACCTACGGAAGAGCAGTTGCCGCAAATTGCCCAGAAGCTCAAGGAGTATGGAATTCAAGCGTTGCTTATTATCGGAGGATTCGAGGTAATAATTGCCAAACGAAACGAGTTTTCACCGTTTAACAACTGACTCTGATTTCATTCCGATAGGGTTATCAAACGGGACTTACGCTATCCAACGCAAGGGATAAATACGAAGAGTTTCAAATTCCTATCGCCATGATACCCGCGACTATCAGCAACAACGTACCGGGAACCGAATTTTCGCTAGGCTGTGATACCGCTCTAAATGAAATTACAGAGGTATTCCGGAACACGTTTGTTATCTTAATTATCGTTATTCGACAACTATAGCGAAGAATACTAATCGCGCGATCGGTTTTAGATCTGCGATCGAATTCGTCAGTCGGCACAGGGTACGAAACGTCGAGTATTTATCATCGAAACTATGGGCGGATACTGCGGTTATCTGGCGACCGTCGCTGGATTAGCCGGCGGAGCCGACGCGGCGTACATATTCGAGGAGAAGTTTAACATCAAAGATTTGAATCAGGATGTGATCGCGATGGCTGCGAAGATGTCCGAAGGCGTACAGAGAGGTCTCATTCTGAGGAACGAGAACGCCAATTTGAACTATAGCACCGATTTTATGCAAAGACTGTTCAGCGAGGAGGGCAAGGGTCTGTTCAGTTGCAGGATGAATATCATCGGTACGCGATTATTAACGATTATTCGAGTAGAAGTTCGAGTGGTCTGGAAATTGTATAAACCACCATTGGTACATTGTTGGTCGTAGGTCATATGCAGCAAGGCGGTTCGCCAACTCCGTTCGACCGCAACTTGGGCACGAAGATGGGCTCGAAAGCGGTCGAATGGTTCAGCAATCAGTTGAAGAAGCACACCAACGCCGAAGGGAGAACGTTGACCATGGATGCCGATACCGCAGTTATGATTGGTATAGTTCGGAGACAGTACAGATTCACACCGTTCACCGAACTTCTCGAAGTCACCGACTTTGTGTAAGTAGTAATAACTGGCGAAAGGTCGGATGAAAGGAATATCGAGAAAAACTGACGGTTTCTTTCGGTTGAATCGTCTAGGCATCGCATTCCGACGTATCAGTGGTGGATGAAGTTACGGCCGTTACTGAAAGTGTTGGCGAAACACGAGTCCACCTACGAGGAGGAGGGACTTTACATAACCGTCGAAGAGATGGATCTCGAGAACGATCCGCCCCTCGTCTAAAACTGCGATTCACGCGTCACAATATACACAGTATAAGGTAATGTTCCCTAATAAAGTGTACAGTGTTGTTGTTAATCATGGAAAGTAGATTTTGTTGAAAAGTATTACAGTATTGTATGGCATTACGATAATCGAGTTCCGTTGTTATCTTCGAGACGACACGGTCGAGTTGTAGATAGAAAATCGTAGAACACACGAGACATTCTTCGGGTCTTAGTATAAGTTTGCCTATTATATCGACGACTGGTAAATCGCTGTATACGCGTGCACCCTGTCGTTTGTACTATTTAATCGCGAGGCGCGCTACGAACATTGAATGTGAATTATCCAAATAAACGACAAATTATTGCACACTATTGCCATGAACAAGAATACAGATTAATATTTTTTCTGGAAATATCGAATTTACGTATTTTAAACGCGGTTTAAGCTCAGGTGAGAAATATCAGGTACAAAACGAGTACCTGAGACGTGCGAAGGTAAGCTATTATCATACCTGAATAGTATAAGGGAAGAGAAGAGAGAATATATCTATAATGTTCAGAGATGACAATGACAAATGAAATTGTTATAGCAGCGTTGTTTTCGAACCGAAACGGATGGAAGTAAAGACGAATTCGAGCAATACGCAACAAGCGAAGATCTCTCCGTGTACGATGCTTCGAATCGAATACAACTCGCGGATCTAGAGTGCTCGTCGAACCTTGCGAGTGTTACGGATCTCGCGAGAAGCGCTTAGCGTGCCGTACTGTGCGTTACCCTTTACTTTACTTTCACTTTCAAAGACATACATATCTAGCAGTTACTTTCTTTGCGTAACGTCGGCCGGAGTTGGTTAGAATAGGAAGACATTATTCTGATTGATTCGGAGTTTGAATTAGAAGACGAATCGCGCAGAGTCGGGTACACCACTGTCGATGAATCGTTAGTTCGCGGATAAATGTACTAGGCTATATTCGTGGTCTACTAAGGATATAAAATTAAACGTAACGTGGCATTTTGCTTTGACGAAAACATTATCCTTTAGTTTAGCTTTACCGATAGCTATGAAAAGCTATTAAGAAGAATATACTTGTCTACCTCGAAAACATAATTTGCAACGTCGGACGACGAACAGGGGGGAGGGTATGCCCGGAAACCCGAGTCGTTCTGGTTGCGTGTAACGTTAAAACATTTTGCTAACATTTAAGGCTTGTGACCACCGGAGTATTTAGATTTAATTCGTGTTACATCACCGTACGCGTACATTTCCCGTCTATTTATCCGAACGAGTCGTCGTATAGATGCTAAAAGCTCGTCCCGATTTTCCGTCGAGTAGATTTATTATTCCCGCCGAACTTCTGGAACAGGACGGATCGATTTACATTCTATTGACGAGCTCGTCGACTTTCGGAGACGCGTTTTTCCTACCGATCGCGATTGTCCAAGATCGTAACAATTTCATTGTACGCTAATACGACACAGTGGCAGAGGACAGAGACGGAATCATTTAGAGTATTGTACAGACAATAGCTGTTGTCGAGAAAGAAACGTTCCGGATGGACAACCACTGTAGAGCAGAGTGTCTCGCGAAGACACCCTCCGCGACAGGAACAGGAAAATTATCATTTGAAACGTCTCCTCTTTGCACAGTCGACTCTGGAAACTAGAAACTTGTTTTGGCCTAATTATACGACGATTGCAACTGGTATTCTACTAACCGATAGATTACTAAAAATATAATGTTGAAAGAATATATATATATACATGTATGTATATATATCTGAGAGTGTATATATCTAAGAGTGTATACGTATATATATATATATTATTTTTACGATTAAAGATATATATTTTCGACTCATTGTTGATCAATGAATTTACAGTTTATCAATGACATAATGCATATAGCGTACGGGTGTGTTATTTTACTCCAGACATCAAATTGTTGAACATGTATTTTCACTTTACCGTCGCATAACTATATTGACTGTAGTTATATTAATTCATCGATAGTTCAAACTTCGCGCCAAGTATTTGTCGTAATTGCACAATTTCAGAAACAAGCGCGTAATTACCATGTATAAGTACTTATATCGTGATCACTAAAAATGTACCTAATGCTCTCAATAAAATATATGTTATAAATATTTCACGCATCTCCCTTCGCTTCTCGATCGTTTCGATCGGTCGTCAAATTTATTTATATACACGCATACGTTTCGAATGTACACGTGCGTCGATTCGGTTTCAATCGTTACGGAATGGAAATTCTAATGCTTAGCGTGTAGAAAATATCGCATAATCTCCTACGCCTGTGTAGAATTACTTTAAATAATTTCTCAAATATGTAACAAGTATTCAAAACCGATCAAAAACCTGTTAAGATAATGATATTTAATCGTTTGAACCGGTATTGGTGGCGCCACGTAGCGCGGAACCGCTGAAACTTCTAGCCAAACAGTACCAAACTCTCTCCGGTAGATGGAGCCATCGAACTACAACCTCTGTGATCCTAGTATCGCCACCTATGAACAAATCGCCCAACCTCCTAGCCAAACAGTACCAAACTCTATCCGGTAGATGGAGCCATCGAACTGCAACCTCTGTAATCCTATTGTCGCCACCTATGAAGAAATCGCTCAACCTCCTAGCCAAACAGTACCAAACTCTCTCCGGTAGATGGAGCCATCGAACTACAACCTCTGTAATCCTAGTTTCGCCACCTATGCAGAAACCGCTGAACCTTCTAGCCGAACAGTACCAGACCATCTCCGATAGATGGAACAACCGAGACGACTTACGAAACCCCCTTGAGAGATTTCTCTATGAAGTTTCATGGGTTTTTCTTATGGGTAACATATGTTTCTTTAGGGGATTCCATGGGTTACCCTTATGGGGTTCCATGGGATTTTCTGATGGGTTCCATAAATTTCTGTAGGGGTTTCATGGGTTTTTCTATGGGGGTTCTATGGGTTTCTCGATGGGATTACATAGGTTTCTCTGGGGGGTTCCGTGGGTTTCCCTATTGGGTTTCATGGGTTTTCCTGATGGGTTTTACTGTCTGAAAAATGACTGAAAAACTCTGAAGCTGTTATGCCTTGGCGGTCTATTTAAAGAAGATCGCATATTTAGAATCTTTGAATGTTTTACAGTCCCGAAAATGTGCGGAGGCTTTGTGTCGCTCTTAAAGCCAACACAACATACGTATGATTGAGCTTTGAAAATTTTCGGTATCGAAATAGTTATTCTCGTGTTAAATAAAGCGATACTTTTTATTTGGAATGTATAGGTATATAAAAGATATTAATGTACGAATAAGTTTGTAAAGCATGTTTGATATTATTTCGATTCGCGTAGTGCCAACAGCATATACACAAGTGCCACATTGTCCTGCGTTGGCCAGTCGGCTCCATATGCTGTTTACTCCGTACGTGCTGATTTGTTGGTGTGTAAGTGAGAACTGACATCGTCGACGACGTTCGATGGTAGAGTTGTTCGCATCGTTAAGTTGAAACGCTTTTCCGGTGATAGATAAACGATTTCGTGAGTGGGAATCGGTGATCTTGTTGCAAACATGGTTGTAATGAAAGGTCGCAAAACCTCGAATAAAAATCCTCCTATATTCAGTCATGAGTTTGTCATTCAAAATCATGGAGATATTGTTTCTTGTGTAGCTTTAATCTTTGTGACTGGTTTAATGGTGCAGGTCAGTGCTCAGGTTTTTAAACGTTAATGAGATTTTCGTACTATGCGTTTCTTTGATCATAATTTATTATTTGTATTTCTTCTTATTTCAACAAGCTTTGAAATCATATTACATATTTTTATTACTAATTCGCTAATATAATAACCATATGTTACTTACCATTATAGGCAACATCACCATGGGCATATACGTTTATTGCTCTTCACCATAATGTGACTTCTGACATAGAAGAGCCAACTGTATCGGTTAAATATACAACAGGTTGGAAAGACGCGTGTGCAGTATTTTTCTATTTCTTAATTACAATTGTAATACATGCTGTGTTTCAAGAATATGTATTCGATGTAAGTTACATTTCTCGCAAATTAGTGTTTCATTGGAAATAAGGGTATCTAAGTATATGTTATAATTCTTTTCTAATTTTAGAAAATTTCTAAACGTCTGCATCTTAGTAAGGTGAAGCTTGCTAAATTTAACGAATCTAGTCAACTGGTCCTGTTTTATGTTTTGTCTATTATATGGGGCATAGACATAATTGTTAGGTGAGAAGTCAATTACCATTAACTATAGTAATAACTTTTAGTATTTGCTTAAACATATTAAAAATTGATGTATTTTCAGAGAAGATTTGCTGTTAAATGTAACATTGTTGTGGAAGGCGTATCCAATGTTGTTAACTTTTTCATCTAAACTGTTCTTTATTGGTCAGCTTTCTTACTGGTTGCATTGTTACCCTGAGTTGTATTTCCAAAGAGTCAAGAGAGAAGATATTCCTTCTCGTGCTGCACAGGCAACCATTGGATTATTGTTCATCCTTGCTGCTTATATTTTCAAGTATGTTTCAAGTAATTTTGTAAACGCAACATTGCTATTGAATTTATCTTCTAAAATTTGTGAAAATCTCTTACAGCTTTCAACAAGTAGGAATCTTATTACTAGTTTTGCATTACATGGGAGATGCTATGCTTCATGGAGCTAGAATTTTTTATTTCATCAGTAAAAGAGACAAGATAACAAAATGTAAGTGTTACAAAAGAGTGTGAGGAAATGTCCTAATAGTGCACAGAAACAGATACATATTAATATTAAATTATTCTTTTACAGTGACATTCCTTGTTGCAAATTCGATATACGTTTTCGTACGCGTTGCAACGCTTACTCTTGCAACTTTAGTATTCCTATATGGTTTAAGTCAAACGGAAAGTGTATTCGATTATGACACTGGAAACTTCAACATCCCGCTTGTACGATTCTCGGCTTTAGGTCTCATTGCTATTTTCGAGGGCTATCTATCTTACATGTACGTTACCAAACAAATTAAACGCACTCGAGAAAATACAACATCTGTACAAGTGGTTACTAAGTCTAAACAAAAGTCGAAGAAAAAGGAGGGTGAGACCATTTTGCGTAATTTTTTAATTACTACTGGGCGATAAGAAAGAACAATGCCAAAATGAACATTTATATTTCTTCAGGAAAGAAACCTGCAGCGTCGGAAGATGACGACTTACCAGAAGTTGATCAAGCAACTAAAAAGAATCTAAGGTCTCGTTCCTCGGCGAAAGCAAAGTAAAGTAACGATTAATTGAGATTTTCATTCAAGGCTGATTAAATAATTACTTTCATTTTTCGTTAACGTTGAATATAATATTCAAACTGTTTCTTATCTTTACCACATTTAAAGTATCTAGTTGATGCCACATGAGACTGGTATTCACGATACCGCCTTCCACTATCATCAAATTATACATTGTAGTTTAACCGTCTTATCCGTTCCAGATAAAACTTACTCCACTAACAATAAGTAAAGAAACATTGAGATATTGTATATAATGTATTATATATTATATACGTTGCATACAGAAACATAATTGTAACTATAACTTTCTATGCAGAAAACATGAAAGCACGATAGGTGAGGGAATAGTTTACCTTAAAACAGTATATAAAACTAAGATAAAACACATGAAATGAACTTCATTCATTTATCGCGTATAGCACTTAGTTAAGTACTACTTAAAACGGTAAAATCGTCATTATTTAAAACTTAAACTGTATTTTTGTAAAAGAATGATTAAATATATGTTGCAGAAAGTAAACAGTAATTTAATTTATTGGGAAAACTGTTAATTGACGGTAATAATTACCGTCGTTCATTATACCTTAACAACTTCTTAAAATAGTATATTAACAAAATAGATACTTTAATAAACTGAAGAGGACTTATCTTACTCGTTGGGGGGATAGGGAGAAACAATTCATACCATTCATCGCTAGATGGAGACTCTGTCGCGTGTTCTGCGAATGACAAGTTTGAGCTAGGTTTGTATATCTTGTTTGTATTTTTATGTTGAAGTCCATAATAATAGCAGCCTATACGCTGGATAATGTCAAAAGTATGTGAGATTAATTCTCACTGGCAAGTTTGAACCAATTAAGCATTATTATTATTGAGGAAAAGCGCTACAAGGTATTGGCCGCTAACCAAGAACTTGCCGACAGATATGATAGAAAATCTTGCTGCAAAGTTGTGCTTACTATTGTCGGAAAAAGCCCAATCAGGTAGTACTAGAATTTTATTATTTTTTTAAAGTTATCAATACTTCATATGGATATTTTCTGTATGTACTATCAATAAAATTTGGTTTATAGAGTAATGATTTAATTTATAGCGGAACAATGGAAATTGTTAGGACAAGAAAAGGATGGATCTTTGTTGGTTGGATGGGTGGAGGAAGTAATAGAGAACAACATATCTATATCGTATACCGTTGTAGGCCATTACGACCGGATTAATGACAAGTTACAGGTTTGTTCGTCTTATAGAATGTTACATTTCTCATATAAAATTAATTACATTAATATGAAATAGGTGTTACATCGATTCCGCAAAGTATTAAATATAGTGCAAGCAACTATAAATCAAAGTCGTACTGTTTTTGGGTATGTGACAAAGCTGAAAGTTTCTACAGATACAAACATAGAATCCACAACAGAAACACAGGAGAATGTATCGGATGAAACTGAAATATATGAGGCACATATTGTTGAATTGCAAGGAAATAATGTAAAAATTCATAATTTGGATACAAAAAGGACCAAACAAATACGCATACAATTTTTATACAGAGAAAAAGATGATGGGCATTTGGATAAATTTTTGTTATTAATTCATCAAGAGTGTAAGCTTTCTATAAATTATATTAAAGCATCTCTTGTTAATTGATGTAGATTCAACTATGTCATTTTACAGGTGTACTAATATATACCATAATATTTGACACATCTGGATCAGAACTTTTAGCCATAAAAGAATTAAAATCAGAATCATTAGTGAAAGCTTTCATTTGGGCTCAATGGGATATGGTGAACCAGGTTTTATATCATATACATCATCGACGAATTCCAGTGAGCGTGGTGTCTGAAAACGAAGAAGAGCAGTCAAATAAATCTGCACGAAGTAACCCGACGCTTAGTGGTTTTCAATTTCATGATGATTTGCCACACGAAACAGTGGTAAATAATTTGACATTACATGTAATATTTAAGTAGACGATGAGACATGCTTTAAACGTGGTTCTTTCGTTTCAGCTGAACATACCATTAAATCTACCTCAATTTTCGACTTCATCTAACTGTGGAACTTATGAGGACGATGTTATACCTTTAAGAGTTCACGACTGTTCCTTAGATCTTATCGTGGTCTCTGATTCTAAAGGAATGGTCTGTGTTTGCCACCATTATTTGTATCGTCCAGTAAAACCACAACAGCATGTACTTAATTCATTGAATGAATCTAATACTGTACACTTTGCATATTCTGTAACGCTTCTTCACCACAGCTGTGTGATTCATTGTGTCATACCTGGTATACCGTGGTCACGAGCTAAGCTCATAAGACCGACGTTTGCGATCTACGAACGTCATCATATGATTGTGCTGGTGCAAGGTTTATTCTCTCATCTTCTTGAGATCGGAACAGATCACGAGCCATGCTGTCATATATTATGTGGCCCGTTGACTTCTATTACATCCCGTTCTTCTTACTTGGTACCATTGCTTGAATTAGAGAGATGTAACAAAGGAGGCAAAAAGAAATACGACGCAGCTTCTATCGAAGGAAGCAACGCGACTACCAGTCCTAATACGAATATACTAACGATAGATCTACCTACGCTAGATTTAGTGCAACTAACAATTTCTTCTGACTTCCTTGTCGAGGTATTTCGTAAAGAAGCATCGATGGAAGTACGCTTGGGAATACTACATTATTTTCTCTGCCACAAAAATGATATAGATATCATTTCGGAGTTAATGTGCTCGATCGCAGAAAAGCCAAGATCATTGGAAATAGTACGGTATATGCAAGAAATTCTTATCGGTGGTTCATACGCATTAGTGCAAAAAAATTTATTAGCAGATGCTGTACCTCTGTTGGCGTTGCTACCAGTTACGACCATGGAAGAATATACTAGTTTTGAAATCAAAGTGAACGATTTAAATATAACACTGAGTCACGAGAAACTTTGGAACACGTCTGTCATGTTACTTTCGCCCCAGCAAAGACTAATCCCTTATCGTAGCGACTTATGGACTAGATTATGGGATCAACTCGGTAAAAATAATGGGGATAAAACGAGATTTAAACCGAGCAAAGTTGCAGAGAAATTATTAGTTTCTTTAGCGTGTTATCAACCCGAAGCATTGTCTAGATCCAGTACTCCAATGTCTCCGAGTGGAGGGTAACGCTGTTTTCCGTGTCTAATGTCTAATATCTAATGTTCGTTAACAATACTAGATTTGCGTGCTCTTGAGAAAAACTGCGTGTTAGGTTCACAACTACTAGAAATTAATTCAACTGTTTACTTAACTTCTGTGGAAAAACAAAATCTTGGAAAACGGGTTGAACATGTAATTGATTGGAGTATATAATATTGTAGATTGGTTGTGGCCACGGTATCGCTTGGTGAGCTAACAGGTGGACGCAGCAACAAACTACTAGATTCGAGTTTGCCGTTCAACGAGACCGAGAGTTGTACCGCATCGAAACAGGAGCACATTGTGTCTGTAAATTTAAGAGAATTATCGATGTACTTGCTGAAGCATGGTATACATACGTCTGTAATACACGTCCAAGGATCCTGTACTCCGCTACATGTTCACGCCATGGCAACCAGACATGTTGCAGCCCAACTAGAAGCATCCAGAGCGCTTTGTCAAATGTTGTGCCGAGCTGCAGGTGTCGATCCGCGACTTGAACAAGAACGCGGTTTTACTTTAGTGTAAGATCAAAGAATAGAACTCGTATATTTTCATTTCCAATTCTCATTTCAAAGTGCAGTACAATCTTCGAATTGTTTTCAGTGACCAACTGGACGAAGCAAGACGGTGGTTATTGTTTATATTACTGGAGCGTTATAGATGCGCGATAGAAGGCATAGCGTTCCCTGCGCCGCAAGGATTTACATCATTTTTCACTTACCTTGGATACAGAACTCTTAAATATTCAATGTTTTTGCAATACATTCAACGATCTGTATTTGAATTACAAGTGGACGTTAGCAAGATCATCATGGCTGGTACAATCATGTTCTTAAATCAGAAAACTCTCTTGTTCGTTTCTAGCTTATTTACCGCAACTTCTCTGTTTCTAGATATCAGTGATACGAAAGAGAACGCTGTCCGTAAGTTAACTTTGTTATCTTTGCTACCAAGATCCCGAGCAAAGAGGCTGTTGAATCAATGGTTGCACCCAGTGAGTTTCATGATACGAGCTCGAGAACACGCCGCTAATATTTTATCCGGTGAAGTGAGCCAAAACCGAGGTAGAACATCGCAACATAGAAACCATCACAACGGTAAGGATAAATGGTTTAAAAAATGTACATTTATATGATATCTCATGAAATTTTCTTTGTAGGTTTAGCAGCGTTTCCGTCCGCGGATCGTTTGTCTCCATTGGATACTTTCCTCGATTTACTTACAGCAAAAGGTATACGTTCATACTTTAATCTGGTTCGCTACGCGTACACGTTAAATAAAGTAGCATTACTTTGCAGCTAGTCTAGCCGAATTAGATTTTGGTCTACTTATAGAAGCCACGGTAACATCCACAGAAGATTTTTTATAAGTAATTCCATTTTAGATGAATGTTAACTATTAATGAACCGCAGCAATTTCATCTAGAACCTTTTTTTACAATCAAAAACCGTAGTACAAGTAATGTTTTAAACGTTTAAGGTGCCATTATTATCTTCCAAAATATCTACTATGTATAAGTGTGACCTTAATATGTATTTCACAAATTAACGAATATTCTATTCTTAAGAATTCTATACAGAAAATTATTTGTGATTACAACGTAACTTCGTCTAGATGCCAAATTTTGCTACAGAATCTGATAAACTTGACGCATCAATTTTTATTACTAATCGACCTTTAAATGTTTTAAATTAGTTCACATGGTATTATACGTTATAGCACATTTAGCAGATTCGTATTCTTGTTTCTGTTAATCTTGCATTATTATTATTATTATCATCATCATCATCATCATTGTATTGTTAATGTTTTGTACGGATGTTGTTAATTAATTTATTAGAAAATTATATATCATAATGTTGTATGTTTACTTATAGTAGTTTTAATCAGAGATAACTCTAATAATTTCATGTGCAATATTTGTGTAATATGAGTTGTATGTTTAAAATATTTTAAATTGCTTAAATTTCATCGCATTCTGTAAAACTCGTCACCTCGAACATTTAATTATTAATTTATGCAATAAGCAAGATCAATGGTATAAATTGATGGTATAAATTTCTGAAATCTGTATTTTTCTTCATTCTTACAAAAATGTAAGATATACTGTTAACAAAATTACATATCAGAAGATATGTACAAAAATGAAACAGTATTAATTATCTTTCTGTAGAAGTAAATATAAATGATTAAATAACAATTGTGTTTCTTACTGTTTCCTTATAAAGTAAATTATCATAAGTATGAGTAAATATATAAAATTTGTGCATTCTTTCAGTTCATATTTTTAAAGTCTCATCGTGTAAGTCGTGAGTGTGCTTAAAGGCGGTCTTCAAAGTAACATGAAATCGACACGTGAAAACGGATTCCGCGCTGGTTATTGGTCGATGCGACAGCTCTAGAAGAAAGCGTCAATCGTGTGTATGAACGCGGACTGTGGTTGCGCTGTAACTCTAAATGGAAAGCCAACATTTCGTCCATTAAAACTATTTCCCCGTCTCTCCCCGTCTGACAGTACTACTAGCAGAATAACATCGTCAGCGATCAGCCATTGTCGTGAGATGTGAAGATTTTTCTCGTGATCTGTTGTTGGAAAAGCTAAGGAATTATCGTAGACCGAAGCAAATCTGTTAACGGAGCGATGCATACGATCCCGGAATTAGGTACCACTGTGCCGGCGTTTCTTGCCAAGCTTTGGAAGCTGGTTGAAGATCCCGAAACCGACGACCTTATTTGTTGGTCACCCGTGAGTACTTATTTTGTTGTTTGCTCGCAATGTCCCGATATTTACGCTTACTGTGCTAAAATCTAACATTACGTCAAATAGTTTTTCTCTCTTTCGACGAAGATAGGTTCCGACGTAACGTTAACATCGCGCAAGTAATCGTCGGAAACGTAAGAGATACGTTGACCCCCGCGGTACACATTTTTACGTACACAACCTATATTTTGCATGTGCATTATCGGTGTAATTTATTCTATGCTTATGTTACTTGCGCCATCGTATACGTATAGCTATATATTATATATACACGCATGTACATTACATATATGTATATACATATATTTTTATGTACATGCGCATGTATATATAGGTATATTTGTGTACATTATATACACACACATACACACTCGCAAAGGTATGCATATACATATTATATTATTGATACACATAACATATTCTAATTTTAAGAATTTCGTTATGATAATGTAGAAATGTGTGTAACTGTGATGGACTGGTAGCCAAATTTGATCAATTTAAATCCAGCATAATTTCACTCTTTCATGAAACTAATAGTACAACAAGAATTGTTGAACATATCTGAACGTATATTACACTCCATCAATTATCAAGACACGTTACTTGTTTTTCTTAATACTTTTTTGTAAATTGTTACGATCTCGGTGATATTCAAATCATTTTTAATAGAAACCGATAGCGAATTTCACTAGAAACAGGTAACTTTTATATAATTATTAAATAAAAGAATGATTGTTTAAACTAAAATTCTAATTTTTGTATATAATATTATTTTACTCTGCCATAATTGATATTTTAATTCGTTTGAATAAATTAGTAAAATCAAACATTGATACAGTTCTGTTGTTTTTAGTTGAACATAGGTAAATTAAAATTGAAATTTATTTATTTTTAGAATGGAAGAAGTTTCTTCATTAGAAATCAAGCACAGTTTGCCAGAGAATTGTTACCTCATTATTATAAACATAATAACATGGCCAGCTTTGTTCGTCAGTTGAACATGTGTAAGCAGTAATGCGTAAATCTCAATTATTATGAATTTTTTTATGTTTTGTACTATATTAATATGTTTATTTCTTATTCTCTTATTTCTTAGATGGCTTCCATAAGAAGGTTTCTGTGGAATTAGGTGGTTTGAAGTGTGATAGAGATGAAATGGAGTTTGCACATCAGTTCTTTTGCAAAGGACATCCGTATCTTGTAGAACACATTAAAAGAAAAGTAAGTATTTCTATATTAACCCATTTGTCTGTTTGTTTGTGTGTGTGTGTTTTTTTTTCAATATTTTACCATAATTTGTTCAGATTGCATCCAGTAAAGGACAAGATCCAACACTTGCACCCATTAAACCAGAGTTAATGAATAAAATGCTGACAGAAGTGAGAAGTATGAGGGGTCGTCAGGAACATTTAGATTCAAGACTTGGAGCCATGAAAAGGGAGAACGAAGCTTTGTGGAGGGAACTGGCAATGCTTAGACAGAAGCACCTGAAACAACAGCAAATTGTTAATAAGCTTATACATTTCTTAATTACTTTGGTACAACCTTCAAGGGGTGGTGGACTCTCGGTTAAAAGGAGATATCCATTGATGATTGATGATTCTAACCGTCAAAGAAGTAAACAAAGTAAATTGTCAAAGGTAGCAGCTTATGTTTCGTTTAAATTATACATTTAACTTGTGCAATATTTATACGAATATATTTCTCTTATTTTTCATTTTTAGGCACAAGCATCACCTACAGGACCTGTAATTCATGAGCTTGATGCATCGGAA